TGTCAAATCCCGCTATTTTTTTTTGTCACAGCGCTCATGATCAAATCGTAGCTTCAGCATAGCAGTTGCAGAAAATTTTTATAACGCCGCTGACTTCGACTCGCTAGGCACGGTCATTGACCTTTCTTTGTGGCGTACGTTTTTGTGGCAAAATGTCTGCCAGTTTTTCTGTCGGCTTTTGTTTAATTCTCAACCTTGAAGCAATCATTCTCTAAGTTCCAACACCACGCAACTATCATTTCTTCCAACTAGTCGTTTCCAACAACTTCCAACGAGTTGTTTGCGCTCGAATCTGAATAAACTCGGCTCCACGGCTTGTAGCCGCTGCGCTACTAATCCCATGTGTTATCCACAAATTGTCAACAGATACATGAAAATAACTTAAAACAAGTATCATGGTAATTTTAGAATACAAATGCTGATAGGGAAATTATTGCTATAAAAGCGAAACCACGCCCTATAAGCTCATTTACTGCACGTACTCTGTCTGTGTTCAGTATCTCACCGTAAATACGCCGTGCGCACGGCGCGTGCACGCCGTGTGGGCGAAGGACTCGTTGCTTCTTTGAATGATTTGTTGATGTTTGGGAGGCTGATATGCATTTTTTTTAGATATTGAGACTTTGGCATAAATTGTAAACGTGGTAAGACACATACAGGTATTATCAGAACTTCAGTGTCGGACAAATAAAACTACCAAAGCGGCTGCTGCTTTTTCTTCCCTTAGCAGGCGTGGTACAGTAAATGTGTATTATCAAAGGCGCGGGAGACGTTCATGAGAACGTGCGCCCGGTGGGAGGGACTTCGTAAATCATCGCTCGCTCAAAGTTATGGTCGATGAAAGGAAGCAGAATCGCACTTCCTGCTCAAAATAATCATGTAGACTGTGTTACTGGGCAATCTAGTTGTTTTGGATGGTACTTGTATTTTGTTGTTAGCTTCATATGAAAGGATTCTACACGGTATTTACGTCATCTCTGCCAAAATAAAACACTGCGCATGCGGCGCAGTTGCCTTGGCGCGGCGATGCGTTGTTGTTTTTGCCGTAATCGTGCTGTTTCATGAATATTCTCATGAATATTCCGTGTACACGGTGCCTGAAACATGAATATTCTGAATATTCCCCGCCCTACTGGCCCCCAAAATCCCGCCCACCCCAAACGTAAACACGCCGAACACACGATCGTGCATTCGCCGTGTACGTGTACACGCTACCGAAAAGTTCGTTAAATTTTACGGTCCTGGTAGTGTAACTATGTTCCCAATCATGAATCAAAACCATTTGTACAATGACTGAGTCAAAATTTTAGATTGCAGGAACCTTGTTTTTTTCAGCCCGCCTTGTTTTTTTCCCCGCCCTCTTGTATTAGATTTGGAGTCTGCGGAGGATGTCATCCATAAAATTTATTTACTGTGGCCTTATAACAAATCTGAGATGACAGACTGACTAGAACACTGTGTAACCAGATTGAGAAGAGTCCTGACCTGGAAGCGGAGGATGATGGTCCAGATGAGTCCGAGGGTGAGTCTCTGGTTGCCGTCCACGATGTCGTGGGAGCCCATGTTCTCCAGATGGACGCGCTGCTCCTTCAGGAACTGCAGAGACTTGTCACAGTTCTCCAGACAGTGGATACGCATCTTACCCCGCGTCGGTCTCGGCTGCAACGGCAAGACATTTAAAAAAAAATGTTTACCGAAGGAAAACATATTGTTTTTACTCAGTTTCTTCCTCCTCTTCTGTTCCAAACACTAACCTATGACCTGGCCAATGACATGATTTGTTGACGTCTGTCACCATGGTGACTGGTGTTGGGTTACATAATGTTGCAATTCCATGGTCTGCTCTACTCCTGTCACCATATACTCGTAGTACGTGTATGTGAATGTGTTTGAGTAAAAATTAACAGGGCAGATCATGTCTGAAGGTAAACATTATGCATTTGCTTTGCAAATGTTACTTCTCTAGTTTAATTATTATTTTTTTTATATTCCAACATCTAATTACAAGATGTTTTTTCAACTTATATTAATGCCGCCACCAACACAGGGGACAATACAATACCAGCCTTCTCAAAAAAATTTAGAGTAGGTGGCTGATAAGAAAAAGTAGCAGTCGAGCCACGAAGTGGCTCGAAGCGAGCCGCGCAGCGGCTCGCAGGGGGAGGGTACGGGAGGGGGGTGGCCCCCTCCCGTAAAAATCTTCCCGCGCTGCCGGCTGCTGGCCACATCGCTTATCCAATCAGAACGCAGGTCATGTGAGGTGAACCAATCAGAGCGTCGATCGCACGCTGCTACTTAATATTCATGACAAGATGGCGCCTGAAAGCTCCTGTTTTTGTACAGAGATGCGGAGTGTGCGTGTTTTTATTCCGGGGTTTTGACGCTGATTTTTGGCTAGCCGTGATTAAGCTACAAATGCCACACTAGTGGAGACAACAGATGAGCAGGGCTCGAAATACTTTTTTCAGCCAGGTGGCGCATGTTGCCACCTGAGTCAAAAGCCAGGTGGCGCCATCAGTATTCAAGTGGCAACACTTCCAAGTTATCATTTTCTTCAAATCTGCTACTTATATCTATTACGTTTTCTTCTAGTTAACTACTTAAGTTTTATGTTATAAAATAAATGTAAAGAACACAAAAGCTCTCAAACAACAATGTTTTAATAAAGAATGCCACCTTTACATCACTTCATCACAGGGCTGCCGCCGTGGGAATGCCACGCCTCTACATGGCAGCACACTTATGCGGGTGGTGTTACGTGCGGCATGTTCTTCGTTTGCGCAAGGATAATGTTACTCTCATCTGCCAAATAAACATACCCCCCGGAATAAACATACCCCCCGGACAAATCTTCAAAAT